ATCCTACACACAATAATAAAAATTTAGCAAATAGGACAGAAGAATCAATGAGTTCTACTATTACTATCATATGAAAAGGTGACTGAAAATGCACAGCTAAGTATATCAGGTAATTAATTAGAGAAGTATGTCAAGTAACTAATGTATTATTTTTCTCAACTTATATTTACATTATTGGTCATTTTTTCACATTTGTACTTATTTTTAAATGCTTACTTTGTAAATTAAGTTTTTATCTGTGTATTCTTTTTTTTGTTTACCTTGAGGTAGGGTGTTGGCTGGACTCAAACTTGTGGGCTCAGGGCTTAGCCTACCAAGCAAGCAGGACTACAGTTGAGCACCATTACCACCACATACGGCTATGTATTCTTTTCCTTAAACAGTCCCTGTTCCAGAGCTAGGAATGTAGCTCAGCAGCACAGTACCTGTCTGGCAAGTACAAAGCCCTGAGTTCAATTCCCAGTACCAAAAAAACAAAAATAAACAAACAAACAAAAAATAGAGTCTCCCTTACGCCTAAACTGTACAGTATATGCTTTAGGTCCCATAAAATATAATTAATGCATTCAAACATTTGAGCACAAGTCTAAACACTTAGGAACACAGGAGTTTCTAAAAGGTAAAATTCCTCCTAGTATGGTGGGTCAAGACAAAGAGGACAGTATGTTAAATAGTATGGTCAGTTGCCTAGAGGAAATAAAGTGAGGATAACAAAGGAACCTGGGAGGTAACAGGGTAGAGAGGAGGCTTCACCAAAAGGACTGCAATCAAGCCCTCCAAAACATTCTAATACACGTGACCACCACTGTTAGGAGGCCCAGGTCAAGTACATACATTCTCATTTATTGCTCACAATACCTTGTGCAGTTGGCATCATGCCCACCCTATAGATCAGGAACTTAAGCCCAAAGAGACTGGCAGTTTACTTAGCTTTCAGGTGGCCTCAACCCCACCCTGATTACATGGCATGCACAGGGCACACAGAGAAGCTAACCCAGAAAATGAGATGACTGAGGAAGCAGCTAGCACCATTTGTCCACTGCAGTCATAGAACAAAGGAAAAGGAAGGGGTCATTGCTAGCCTGTCCTGCAGTAGCTTCTCACGCACAAGAGTGGGTCTGGGCCTTAAAGGATACAGGAAACCAGTAGGCCAACGGGCACAACAGTGGAAAAGGTGAGTGTGGCAGGGTCCCAAGACAGCTGAAGGGAGGAGGCCTGCGTTTAGGCTGTGAGGACCTCAGTAGGCCACTGGCTGGAACCAAATCAAAGCAGGTTTGCAAGTGGGCTGTGACATGACCTAACATTCTGGGAAACAATCAGGAAGAGATGGGATGGGGAGCAAAGAGATGAGATGAAACAAGGTTCACCACTGTACCCCACAGCATGATAGTGCCATTCTACTTTGGAATTTACTTCTGTACTAGGGACTGAACCCACGGCCACTGCACTGAGCTACATCTCCAACCCTTCTTTAATTTTTTTTTATCTTTGAGACAGTCTCGGTGCTTAAATAGCCTAGCCTAGACTGGGTCTGAACTTGTGATCCTCCCACCTCAGCCACCCAGAGCATATCCGGCTGCTTAAGAGTTTCAAAATGGCAATAATCTAATATAGCATAGATGCACTTGTATCACTGTAACTTTCCTCTTGATCCTGTTCACATACGTATTTTTTACAATACCGTAATTGCTGTGTAACGCAACATCTTTTAGTTTAAGGCATATTTTAAAGTATGTATTCATGGATCAAAATGGTTCAAATTTTAATTGGAGGGAAGAATAGGAGTGAGCTAGTCTCTAAGCATGTTTACCTTATGGACATAACATGGTTTTCTTCTCAGATTGTTTTCTTTTTTTTTTTTTTTTTTTTTATTTAAGAGGAAAAAGAGAAAAACACAAAACAAACCAAAGCGGTGTAAGGGTACACGTAATACAGAACTACAAAACAAAACAAAACAAAACAAAAAAAACAAAACAAACAACCAAAAAAACACATAACAGTAAGAAATCACCTGTTAGTATATTACATATTATCATCTTGAAAATAGTTCCTCAAATCACAGTATCAAAGAATACAAGGTGGACATTCAAACAGGTAGACTGCAAACAGCTGTGTTCAATGATCCAAAAACATTGATACAGTCAGCTATTTAACACCCCTAAACACACTTGCTGTTATATCCGTTAGAGCTCTTTTTCTTTTTCTTTTTTTTTTTCCCTCTCTTTTTTACAACAAAATTCACACACTTTAGATTTCATTACTCCTTAGTGCTTATTACTTTTTTTGGGGGGGGGGGAAGAATACAGTCAAATATGGCAAAACAAAGCTGTCAGTCAATACCAAGGATAAACATAGCACATGGTGTAGAACAGAGTACAAGTTTATCAACAATGGTTATCAACGTTGTCCCTTGTTTCCTTAAAAAGAATTGTCTATCTCATTAGATATTATAAAGTTGGACAAAACAGTAGAGAACAAGACCAATAAAACTTAGGCATTGTAAACATTACAGGACTTCCAAAGAAGACAATAGTCAAACCAGAATGGGTATCTTAGTTCAGATTGTTTTCAAAAGCAAGATTCCAAAATCAGAATCTTTATCACACACTGTTAGTTACTCTTTAAAAAAACTATACCAAAGTTACCACCAACATGAATTCCCCAGAAAACCATGAGATGCTGGACTTTTATCATACTACATCCTGTGGCATCCTCGACTTTTCAACTTCCACTACCAAGGTAAGGCCAAATCCCAACACTGACAAATGTACTACAGTGAAATGACTCTATATATCCTCGTCTCTACATCTAATACTACTGTGTGAACAAAGTTCACAGTAACTGAGTAAAAGGGAAATCTGGCAAGCTAACAAGAAAATGGGTGATGGAAAAATATGAAAGAACTGAAAGAATAAGCAGCAATAAAAGAAATCTGTTACTGTCTGAATACATATGATGTGTTGATGTGACTAAAGCAGGTGTGTCTGCAAAGCAAGGAGGAAACTCAATTCCTTGGAGCCGGGGATTTCACGGCTTGCAAGGAATTACCTATTCATTAGTCTTTGCTTTGCCAGTGTAGCTCACATCATTTCCTCCAAACAGATAGCTCTGCTTAATTATTACCTAATTCACTTTCTTTCTTTTTTTTTTTTTTTGTCTTTTTCATTTTTATTGGTACCGGGGATCGAACTCACCACCGCCTGCTTGCAAGGCAGGTACTTATGCCGCTGAGCTAAATCCCCAGCCCCATCCTAATTCACTTTCAACAGCCTTTTCAATTTTTTTAAAGCAGTACAAAGGACTGAACCTATGGAGCACTGAGATATCTCCTCAGCTCTTTCCATTTATTTACTTTTTGAATTTGGAGAGAGTCTTGCTAAATTCCCAGGCTAGCCTCAAACTTGTATTCTTTCTACCTCAATCAACTGTTTTTGTAAATTAGGATGGCGTTCCACAATCTGCTCAGATGATTCTACTTGTCAATAATAATCATTATTGTTTACTAGAAACTTACTGGGAATCTTAACACCCCCAAGCCAGGGCTAGAGATCAAACCCAGTGCCTCACACATGTGAGGACAAATGTTCTAGCACTGAACAACACTCCAGCCCCAAAAGCTTTTAAAAAATGATTTTTGTAGTCATAATATCCCTAAGAGGTAAGTAAATGTTAAGCTCATTTTGTAGATAAGGAACCAAATGCAGGTATAAAAGAATATACCTTATACCAACTTCTTTCTTGGAAAGGGAATTAATAAGAGGAACATGGAAATCTACTAAGGACTGACAGCTGTTCTTCAGGCAAATGACAGTTCTGCAGTTCAGAACAGTGCATCATCAGCAGCTGCATAATAACCATCTGCCTGAAGCAAGGGCAGAGGCAAGGCAGAGGCTGTAACTAGCTTTGCAAATACCCCAAAGTGTCACCCTAAACCAGCAAGTCAACTTCTCTGAGCCTTCTTTTCTTGTAATTTAAAATGCTCTGGGTAACCAGGCCATATCTACTTTGAAGACTTTAGAAACGACTAACAGGAATTATAAAGTGCTACACAAACTTTTTTTTGATGTCCAGGAACTCACACGACCTGTATTTGCCCCATAGGTATAGTTTCACCATGCTGTCTTACTTCAAAGATCCCTTTCTTTCACATCGTCTCAATAACGCTGTCTACAACTTGCTTATCAAATATTTCCAGTTGTCCACTCCCCCCAAAAAACCTCATGGATACAAAATAAATTTAGAGAAAACCCTCTTTTGAAGATTTAGCCCTGGAATTTAACTCTTTCCATTCCTTCTCAATCCTATGTATTGAAATTATTTCATTCTTCATAGCCATTTCTGGACATCAGAAGCTGCCGCCGCCTGTGTAAGTGGAACGATGTTCATAATCCAGGTTTGTAATATACTGGGCCAAGTTTTGGTCCCCAATTTTCATGGTTTTCCCTCAGCAGGTTTCCCACTGGCCTGAAACAATTTCTAGACCTGAGTGGAATAAAAACATCAACAGCTACCACTAGATTCCCACCACGAAGATAAAACTAAAGGAAAAGATGTGAGACGTGCACGCCAAGGAGAGGCTTAACACTTGCCCTTCGGACTTCCACCTGTGGCTCCTGGCCCGGCTTCCAGGGCTTCCGCGGTCAGCTAGCTGGCTGTCCACGCGGGACGCCTCGGGCCTCGCCCTCCGCGGCCAGTGCACCGTCCCCGCGGGACGCTCCGGGCCCCACCCTCGGCGGGCAAGGCAGGGTCCATGCGGGACGCCCGGGGCACCGCCCTTTGCGGGCAATTGAAGGATCCATGCCTTCCGCGGCTGACTCCCCACAGACTGGCGTCCTTCTGCCGAAACCGCTGAGGAGCTGTGCGCCTCGCGAAGGCCGCAGGCCCCGGCGTGGCCTTTCTCCGCTGGCCCGCGACCCCAACCTCCGCTGCCCGCCCGCGCTGCGACGCCCAGGACGACCTGCGGTCCGCATCCGCGCGCCCCGCACCCGCTGTGACCTTACCCTGCCAGTCGGGCCTGCGCCGCCGCCAGCACAACGCTCTCGACCTCTCGCCGCCGCCCGCTCGCTACTGCCCGCCGGCCTCCCACCCCCGCGCCGCGCGCCCGACGCGACCCCGCCCCCGCCGCGGACGCACTGTTGATTGGCCTGCGGTGCACTGGGGCGGGGCCTCCCCTTGTGATTGGTGAGCAGAGGCAAAGAGAAAGGAGGGAGGGCGACGGCAAAGTCAAGGCAAATCTGTGCAGTGACTGGGTTTGGCGGGCGGGACTTCGACTCTCCGAGCCACTGAGCAGGGTGGGAAGAAAACTGTTCCCTGGGCGGGGCCTAGGCTCACTAGGCGGGGCCTCTCTCGCCTGGTGGACTTGGTGGGACAGGCGATCGTTCGCTGGGCGTGGCCTCCGCTCACCTGGCGGACTTTGCCAGATGGGCAGAGAACTTCCTTGGGCCCAGGCTCGGTTACCCATGTACTGGGCCTGATGGGCAAGGCCTGGACTCGAGGGGAAGTCGCTTCAGTACCCAGTGGCTCTACGCCCTCACAGCTGGTCTGCCTAAAACCCGCACCCATCGCTTGCCTTCTGGGTATAGCCAGACCGTGATCCACCAGCACCGGGAACCATTGCAAGGTCACAAGAGAGTGCTATAGCGAAGACAATGCGGAGCTGCGAGGCCTGAGATGCCGCCCTGCACCCAAGGAGTCTCCACGGTCCCAATCCGGCCTCGGTGTCCCCACTGAGAAAGGCAGCGTGAGACCAGATCTGGGGCCTTGGACGCCTATGACGCCGTGGCACAGTGACCTCTTCCTTGAGTTTACTGCCCACCAAGCCGGCTCTAATACCGCTGCCCCAACAGGGCTGTTGAGCTAAATCAGTAGCTGCCTACATATGTCCTCAAGCAGACTCCTCTTACAATGCTTGGACCTCGCGAGGAGGCCTAACCATCTGCCACCACGACAAGGCGGGAGGACGCCTTATCCACGGTGGAGGTGGACTTGGGGATGCCCACAGAGACCAGGCTCAACCCTGCGGAGAGGTCTTCAGTTTACCACCGCTAGAGGCTTTTCCTCTAACTAATCCATTGATAAGAACCCCAGCTTTGACGACAACCATCCCATGGCTTGAGCCTGTGGGCTGTACTCGCTGCAGAGGGTAGACCCTAGAGTGCCACACTCGCCCAGGGGCAGGGGCCTTGTAAGGTCTGTGCTGGTGCTGCCCTGCCAAGGTAGTGGTAGGTATAACATTCATTGCGGAGCGCACCCTTGAGGGGGAAGGAGCCCAGCAGAACAGCATGAATAAGGGCCACATAGAACTAAATGGCAAATCCGCACTACTCAGGGTGCAGAGCCTAGGAAACACTGACCACAGTTAGAAGGCCAGGAGTTCTGCCAGGCCTGTAGAGGTCAGTACAGTCCTGCGCAGATAGCCAGAGGCCTGGGATGCAGGCATGGAGCCAAAGTAGGATAGCATCTAGGTTTTAAGTTTCCTTTGATAAAGCTGTAAAGCTCTCCAACCTCACCTGAAAAACATGGAAAATAACTAGATACAGTACACTCATTCAGTTATCAGAATTTTTTTTTTGGTACCGGGAATCGAACTCACGATCTCACGCTTGCCAAGCAGGTGCTTATGCTGCTAAGTCCCCAGCCCATTTGCTCATTTATTTATATTTGCAATTATTTTATTGTTGCTACACTTTCTAATCTGTGAACATTTATCACTCAACTCATTGGTGTTAATTTTTACCAGGTGGGTCTCAGAACCTTCCTCATAAGTTGGAACACCAAAAACAATTCCAGTCTTAATTTTCTTTTGGCTGAGTTAAGCAGGCCTGATATAACTGATACAAATCATTCTTTCTGATTTCATGCCCAGATTCTGTTGGGTCTTTTTGTTTCCCAGAGACCACATTCTTTCAAAGAAACAGTAATACAAAATGGCAAATAGGTAAATGGAAAATTGTTCAGGATCTCTGGCTATTAGGGATGTAAATTAAAACACCATTAAGATTCCATCTTATTCCAGAAAGATTTTCTATCATCAAGACTCAAGTCAGGCCTGGTGCACACCTATAATGCTGGCACTTGGGAAGTTGAGGCATGAGGATCAGAGGCCAACTTGGGCTGCATAGTGAGTTCAAGGCCAATTTGAGTTACATAGGAAGAACTTGTCTTTGGAAAAAAAAAAAAAGTCAAACAACAAATGCTGGCAATGTTGCAGAGGGAAAAAGGAGTATTTCATTGATGGTAGGAAGATGTTTGTACAACCACTATGGAAATCAGTATGGAGATGCCTCAAAACACTAAAACTAGAAATTCCATTCCGCCCAGCTATTCCTTTTCTGGAGTGTTTTTGAAAATTTTTAAGGACACCATATTACAGTGATACATATACACCCATGTTTGGCAGCACAACTCAGAATAGCTAAATCTTGGAAGTGGCATACAAACCCAAAAACAGAAGAACAGACAAAGAAAATGTGGTATTTATACACAATGGAATATTACTAGGAAAATGGATGTAGCTTGAGATTATACTGCTAAAATAAATCAGACACAAAGGTTAAATATCAGATGATTCCTTTTATATATGAGAAACCCAAAGTATAAGTAAAGAGCAAAATAAAACCTAATAGGAAATAGGGAGGTAGTCTTTCTGCAAATTGGAAGAGGATCTAGAGATAGAGGAGGAGATCAGGAGGAGGGGAGAAGGGGATGTAAAAAGGATTAAGGTTTTATATGAACATGTATCAATTCCCAATAGTGAATATTCATTATGTATCACAAACATATACTAATCAAAAAGTAAAACAAAAAACAAAACTACTAAAATAGTATCTAAGCAATAGTTCTTTATTGAGTAAAAAGATTAGTTTAAATGGATACAAAATTGCTGTGTAGAGTGTTTTAAAAATACATTTCTATGGATAGAGATTTTTAGTAAAACAGTTAGCAAAAGTGTACGTTTAGGCTTGGATAGCAAAACAAAGAGAATTTAGAAGTGTGACCAGGTATCTCTCCTAGCCCCCAATGCTATAGACATACACTGGGCTTAAAATGATACCTTGAGTTTTTTTTGTTGATGTTGTTGTTTTTACAGCTTTTTAAAGCAGTTAATACCTGTCAAATAACTGACTTTAGATGGGACTACTCTAAAGTCAAGGGACACTTTTCTCTGTAGAAACCTCACACAATGAGCTTAACCATACAGCACTTGGCTCTTCACAACCCTCAAAGCCCTTTTTGACCATCTCACTATTTTTGGTTGAAATGAAATGAAACTCCCAAATTCCTGTGTCTCAACACAAATCAACCCTCTTCTTCAGCACAATTCCTGTTGCAATAAAATAAAATGCCAAACCAGGACAACTGGTATATTCTTCACTCTTCCATTCCTTTCGGTGGTCTATTTTCAAAAGGTTAGGCGAAATGGCGAACAGATGACTTCAGGGTATCCCACCAGCAGACAAAGAGGGAAAGGTGGGGCCTAGGCCACAGTGTAGAGAAGACAAACAGGTGCAGTTTTGACTGTGGGAATCTGGCTACCACCCTATGGCCCAGATCGGAATTGCCTTTCACTATATATGATACATGGAGAAATCTCTCTTATGCAAAATGAGGGAATGACAGGGGCTAAAAAATTATACAATCTACACACAAAAAATAAGATCACTGCTCTTTTCATTTCAATAGAAAATTAAAAAAAAATAAGAAAAGAATATGGGGACATTCAAATCAGAAAACCTGTCAGGTATCTGGGCTTCAGGGAGCTAAGGCATTCTGGCAGGACCACTCAGGAAGCAGTCTGGGAGTGCAGGTTTGTCAAAAGTATTCCAATTACCACTTCTGAGAAGGTCTTTCACACCTGCAGTTACAGAAAATACATTAAAGTGCAGCATAAAATATAAAAAGGTTGGTTTCTTTAAAAATTATTTCTTAGTTGTGTGAAAATAATATACTGACAGTCAATTCTGTAAAAAATCATTGCAACATGAAACTGGAGCTCACAGCTGCTTTGGTTTTCTCTGTAGCACAACATAACCAGTAACCGTGAAAAGTATGATAAAAAGTGCTTGTGGTGAGTTTTCTTCAAGGTTTAACATCAGAATATATCCCTAGAACACCATGTTTAAAAAGTTACTGATGTATAAGTATGTCTTATTAGAAATTCTACTCTGTTCTATTTGATGAAAGACAAATGTGCACAGGAATTCATGGTAATGAACTGCAGCAATGAAAGGTTCAGGTGTTGTACAGAAAGAAAATCAAGAAAGGTAACAGATTCCACATAGTATAACCTAGTAATCAAATGGCCTGGGACCAAGTCTACACAGTCTTCTGTCAGAGGTACATGTCCATCACACAGAAACAACGTGGTTAAACCTGGATGGTCTAGTTACAAATCAGGAAGCTACATCAAAGAAATTTAATATTCACTATATTGCTGACTGACTCTCAGAAATCAATTCTAGCATTAGTGGTTAGTTAAAACAGAAAACAAAAATAAGTTCATCTCACGAAATATAAAGTATAACATAGCAATGAACTGCAAATGTTAAAAGAACTTCATACAAAAAAAGAAAACACATCAAAAATTTAAAAAATTGAATTCTTAGGCACAGATACTATATATGTGAACAGGCTTCCTTCCAAGAATCTCATGAAAATCTGTAGCTTAACACTCAATTGGAATGTGTTCTTTTCATTCAGGAGTGCTACCTAGAAAAATAAGACATAAGTCACTTATGAGGTAGCTAGAAATTAGAAGCACTATGAAACTGTAAAGTATACAGAAATAAATATTAACTTTACATATCTAAAGTAAAACCTTTGTAATTCCTTAAAGAAATGGTGGGCTGGGGAGTTAGAGCATACATAAGTGCCTGCCTTGCAAGAACATAGTCATGAGTTTGATCCCCGGTACCCCTCCCCAAAAAAGAGTAATAAAATAAAATAATGGTAAGATCAGAAACAATGAGCAAGCACTTATCATATGAGCACTGCTCATATGAGTCCACCACTACTAAGCAGTCCTCATTTCACTCCACCCAGTGGCAGGAGCCACACTTGGTGATGCAGAGCAACTTCTTGATTCAAGGGCTCTGTCTCCATCACCCACTGGATGACTACAGGCTAAGCATTTTAAACTCCTGCAGCAGCACTGACTTCCTTATTGGTCAGTGTGAACTAAGCACCCACCCTTCCAGACTTTTCTTAGATTCCCATGTGATAAAGGAAAGGCACCAACTTGAGAACCAGGTGGGGTTAAACAGATCCGCCCCTTACACTGACCCCAGTAAGCTTCTAAGGGCAGAGGCTCTGTGTCGGTGATCAATGCTCTAGATGCCCTGGATCTACAGATCCTTCCTGAATCACCTATCCATCTTTCATGGACTCCTTGCTTTCTGTCTCACTCACCCTGCCATCTGTGCCACTCAAGCTCAGGTCACTTCCCTACTATCCCAATCCCTCTGGTGCTTCCAGAACAAGGTTCTTAAAACTGCATGGAGGCCGTCTGCCTAAGTTCCTTGCTTCCTCCCAGATCATGGCCACCATGACCCCTTAGTCACACATCATTGTTCACTGCTTTCCTCTAGGAGGTGATGGGAGTAGCACATTTGACAGCTCCACATACTTGCCTTTCTAGTCTACAGTCCCTGGTGTCTACAGTTTCTGACAGGTCAGCAATCTATGAGACTCATTCATTGGAGCAGAGAACTGGAGGTCACCAACGTGACCCTCACCTGTCTGGCATTAACCTCCATGGTGTCATTTTTGATGGGCACAAGTTGTTCTAATTCTAATCTTTTATTTTCTATCAAGAGATATTTTCATGAGCAACAAATTTCCAATTTTATCACTAAGTAGTTTCTTCTTATACAAGTCCATATTTATAAGCTTTTTCTAGAAAACATGGAAAGTCTTTACTAGACAGTGGCAGTTGAGAAGTGATTTCTGTTTTTTAGGAGCAATCTTTTCTCAGTTAATGATAGTAACGTGGTTAACAATAGAGTTTCCAAGTACCAAAGACTGGTAAGACTTCAGGAGGAGCCAAAATGGGATCCCTGAGTAACAGCTGCTCATTTTCCAGGCTGGTGGACATCATGGTCAATCTCAAAGACTTGCTAGTCTGCACACATCACTTCCCACATGATGCCTGGAGCCCCAATGACTGTCTCTGACTTACGTGTTAATGCACACACCTCACACATGGTGCCCAAGAGCTCCACTGTCACCATCACCACCCTGCATCTGCAACTGCATCTGTGCCTGCATCCTTGCGATCATCTCTTGCATGCGGCGGAGCTGAAAATACAGTGCACATTGGGCACATTACCGGTATTTAGTTTGTTGTCCCTGAACATTATTTAAGGATGTTCTTGGAAACATTAAATTTTAGATTCTATGCTTTTTAATGCATGACATGTTAAGATACAAGGAATTCTTACAGATCAATAAAAACATCAACAACTGAATAGAAAACCAGGTACATGATAAAAATATGTAAGTCAAATAAGACACAAATTATTAAATAACCAAAAGTAATAAAGAAAAATGAGAAAATGAGATTTTTTAAAGCCAAAAGATGGGAAAGACACTTGAGTTTACCTAGTGGGTAACAGGAAGCGAATGGGAATGATTCAGCTTTTCTGGAGGGCAATGAGGTAACTATGAAAATAGTCAATGCTGATGCATCTTTATCCTTACCAACTTTTATCATCATGGCTTATGTGTGTTCAAGGAGGCCACTAGGAAAGTATTAGTAAATATTTACCCAAATTTTTTGCAGGTATCTGGGCATGGTGATACACACCTATAATCTTAGCCCTTAGGAGGTTAAGGCAGGATGAGATTGAGGTGGCCTAGGCTACATCATGAGTTCAAAGCCACACGCTGAACCACAGAGAGATCTTGTCTTTAAAAATAAACAAAAAAAGCCTTCAGCTAATCTTTTTCCTTTGGTATCAGGGATTGAACTCATGACCTTATGCTTGCCAGGCAGGCACTTGTGCCACTGAGCTAAATCCCCGGACCTCTTCAACTAATCATGTGGCTATGGTTTTAGCATTTAAATATTAGATACACAGTGAGTTAATCGAGTTAATCCCTGAGGCCACATCACTAATGGAAGATCTGCACTTCTAGGTCCTTTGACAGGTCTGGGTGCTCTTGATCCACACTGCTTGTCTCCTAGATGGCTGTCTGTGTGACCATGTTCTTGAGGGTTTTTGTAACATGCAAAGCAAGCCTTGTCCCTATGTTTCCCATGCTTATTTCTTAAAACAGAATTAGTGAAAGGAAAAAAAAAAATTTCAGCAATCACACACAATTTCTGTTGGAAATGTCATAAATGTACTAAATCTAGAAATTTAGAGGAGTATGAGCCTTAACTGAAGTTGTAGCACCTACAGTGTCATATGTCTACTGTAATTTTTTGTTTGTTTTTTAAGACAGAGTTTCACTATGTAGTCTGGAAAGAGCATGAACTCACATGGCCCCAGATGGCCTATGATTCATGATCTACCTCAGTTACTGAGTACATTACAACTGTGTACCACCAACTGTGGACTACTATAATCTTTAAAAAAAAAATAGTTTCAGTAGTTTTCTAATGTCTATCCCCATATAAACCCTACATATTTCATCTCAGATTTTTGGTAATGGCTGCAACTGGCAGTTTCACTCAATTTTTCAACCTCTTATTAATTTGTGTATGAGGCAAACGATCAGTAACATTACTAAAGTCTCTTTCCAAGTTTTTTTTAGCAAAATTGCCACTGGAAGTTAAATGATGAGGTAATATATGTAAACCATGTATATTATTGCATATGATTATCTATAGTGAGAATGAGTTAAGGAAGAAATTTAAGGAATTACTGAATTAAATTAAGAAAAAAAAATCACATGCTACATACAAACTGTTTTTGGATGTAAGTTAATCAGCTCTAGTCAAAAGAATAGTACTTTGATACTTACCTCCGCTTCCTTTTCCAGCAGGATCTGATCTTTATTCATATCCTCATTTTCTACTTTCCTAAGAGTAGGAAGAAACTATAATTAAAATACTGCAACAAATATTGTGGGCTTTGATTATAGATAACTAGAGGAAAATATTTATTTTAGAATTCTGAAAAGCATCTTTTTAAATTACAATTTTTATTTTTCAACTAAAGACAAGAGGACAGATAAAAATAAAATGAAGTAAATTTTTTTTTAAAAAGTGGAATGAAGGAAACGGAATGAAGAAAAAGGACAAATGCCACCAATAGCAAAGTCAGGAGACTTCTTGTATTCTGACTCTAGGACAGTACTTCTTTTGTTACTTCCTCTGGGACTGCACACTAAATGGTTCCCTGGAGCAGTGGGCCTGGGCAAGTGAGGAGCCCAGTCCCGCAGACAAAGAGGGCTCCCAATGCACCCCAGACCATGATGCAAAGCAGGCAATTCCAGGCAGACTGCTCCTTGCTTACTTGCGTAGTTCTTAATGTCTAGTTTTCAAGTTAACACAGTAAATGCACACAGAGACTGAACCTAGATCCTCTGCTACTGAGCTGAGCTACACCCTCAGCTCCTTTTTATTTATTTTGAGATAGCATCTCACTGTGTTACTCAGGCAAGCCTTGAATTTCTGTTCTCTGGTTTTGTTTTTGGACTCAAACTCGTGGTGATCCTTTTGCTTTTGCCTCCTGAGTGCTGGGTGTATACCACGATGCCCAACTAGACTCAAATTTATAATCTTCCTTCCTTTAGCTGAGATTAAAAGCATGTATCACTGTGCCTGGCAAATTAGACTTTAATATGTACCTCAGTCATATCCACAGATCTACTGAAATTACTAAAAACTTGGATACTTTAAATAATTACTATAGTATAATGAACATATGCCACTTATTTGTTCATTAACTTCTACTCAGAAATGGAATTTTTTCAGATATAGACCGGGTCACAAAATACAGATCTCATATAAAAATATAATATGGACTGGGATTTAGCTCAGCGGCATAAACACCTGCCTTGCAAGCAGGCAGTCATGAGTTCGATCCCTGGTACTGATTAAAAAAAAAAAATAGATTATGAAAATGGTACATGTCTACAATGCCAATATTTAGGAGGCCGAGGCAGGAGGATTTCTACAAATTCAAGGCCAACGTAGGCTACATAATGAGTTCAACACCAATCTGAACTACTTAGTTGAATAATGGTCTCCCTCTTTTTATATGTATAAGAAAAGGTGGAGAGGATGGTGTTATGAATTTGCAGAGCTGCTATTCTGATGATACCCACACCCTTATCCAGGGAGTTGTGGTTCTTAATGGCAAACATGTCTGTCACTTAGACAGAGGGAAGTTTTTGGAGATGTTTCAATACAAGCCTCTGGCCTTCTTATAAGTACAGTTGTTCCATAATGTGCACAAGAAATGTGTACTTCATAAAGCTATTTTTCCTGTGCACATTATAGAACAACTGTTTTTTTGTATTTGTTTTTTTTTTTTTTTTTTTTTGCTTTTTGAGACAAGGTCTCACTCTACTGTTCAGGACTGCGTTGAGCTTACTTTATAGCCCAGTCTGCGCTGGGATTATAGGCATGCACAACCACACCTGGCGGAACAATTGTTTTAAGGCTACAAAAATAAGATTTCAAAATTAGCAACTTTCTTTCTATCAGTATTTGAGTAGGAAGATAGCTTTTTTGTTTCAGTTTTTTTGGTACTGGGAATCAAACTAAGGACAGCTTGACCGACACTGTGCCACTGAGCTATATTGCTGCCCCTTTGGGGTTTTCTTGAGCAAGGTCTTAGGCTAGCCTCAAACTCAAAGTGATTTTTCGGCCTCAGCCTCCCAAGTCCTGGGAATACAGGTGAGCCCCACTGTGACTGGCTAGGAAGCCCATTTTAAAAGAAGCTACTTGGTGGCCAAGAAGGCTGAACTGAAGCCAAAGTGTGGTGGTATATCCTTGGACTTCCAGTACACTGGAAGGCTGAAGCAAGACTGTGAGTTCGAGGCCACCCCAGGCTACACAGTGAGTTCAAGGCCCCCGAGCTACACAGCAAGGCAGTGCCTGAAAAAATCAAACCTATACAAACAAAAACTTGGATAGAATAGTATATGCCTGTAATCCTAGCACTCTAGAAGTCAAGGCAGAAAAATGACAGGTATGAGGGCGACAAGCTACACAGACACCTTTTCTACCAACAAAAAATGTAAAAAATAGTAATAATAATAATAATAATAAAAAAGGTTGAGCCGGACATGCAGAGGAAAGGGAGAACTTAAGTTTCAGGTAATATAATACTGAAGAGTGGAGATAGTGTAACAACCTGCCACCTCTCTTAAGCCTCTCAGAACGGAAGTTTTCATAGTGAAGGTCCTGAGTCACTTCCTGTAGATCTTGCATGTGGGTACTGAAAGAGAAAAGGAAAGCACTGAAATGGCTGCATGCCTGTGGATTTTCCCAGGAAAACACAATTATACAGAACACATGGCAGTACACTAAACCTTCCCTAGTACTAAGGAAACTGCACATGGAAGTTGCCAGAACGTTGTTAGAACATCAGGATAAAGGAGGCTGGCTACGGTAACACTTGGTGTGAGGTAGTGGTGAACATCTTCCTTGTCACCACACCAAATGAAAAGTCGGGGTGCATCCTCCTCACTGGACCTTTGCTACAGCACTGCCAGTCCCTGCATGAGGTCACCGCCACTGGGAGGAGATTTGTACAGAGGGGTGAACAGACGGTTAGGTAAACAAGGTCTATACTATACCATACTTCTCAAAGATCTTATGGGAAATATACAGTTCAAATCTTCATGACTTAAGCTTGTAATTTACATACTTATCTTACATCACAAAGAGTTGACTGGCTTAAGCTATGGACAAGACCACGAGGTGAAGCCCAGGAATGCTAAATTAAAGCTTCTCTTTAACTTACCAAACAATTATGGCTGATGTTTTGTCCAGAATTTCCAAGAACTTATTCAGAGGAGCAAACACTATGGCACATTCCTGTGGACTGTTTCTTTTGGGACAGTGTGGATGTGAATATCTTATTTCCATTCACTAAGAACTGCTTATTGGTGGCATATATAGCAATTTTTAGCTAATTAAAATATTACTTTAAATTGTAAATCTCTTATGGGACTTTTCTCATTGAGGAAGTATACTTTATGCAGAACCAGAAGACAGGAGATTGAAAGCTCCAAGAATAAGTAGTAAGAAAACACAGATGTGATAAGCTGGCAGCACACACCTGTAACGGCAGCACTTGGGAGGCTGAAGCAGAAGGATCATTGCGAGTTCAAGACCAGTCTGAGCTACAAAGTGAGCTTAAGGCCAACCTGAACTGCATAGCAAGACCCTTTCTTAAAAAGACAAATAAAAACACTGCAGCATGAACAACAACAAAAAAGGAAATGTGAAGTACCCTGATTTCAACAGTACATGCAGGAGACACATGCTGAAGTATCATACTGTCACCCACAAATGTGTACCCAAGTATATTAAGCAATATGCTTTCCTTTAGCCTCTTCTTTTTTTCCAACAGAACCACTGGAGTAAGGCTTTATTTCAACAGATCCCATGTTTCAGCACAGGGGTAAGAGGAAGCCACCCCATACTAACCCCTGGCTTTCTTTGAAAGTAACAGCCATGCATGTATGTTGTTACATGTGAAATTCATTTTACAAGGAAGGTTATTTTGGTAGCCAAGCTTGTAATGTTGCTAAAAATGCAAAGAAATCTCAGGGTCCTTGGTTGGGGGAGGGTGTTTGGTTTTCCTCTGGCATAAAATCTGAGACAGTAAGGAACAAAAAGAACATGTGCTGAGCTACAGGCCACAGGAGGAAGAGGCTAGCTCAGCAGAATCCCAGGCTAGCCACACAGCACTGGCCACTACCGGCAGTATGAAGGTGTTACAGATGTGCCCTGAACATGATAACTACGTACACCCACAGCTCGGCCATAGGTAGAACACTAATGTCTTACATAAGCATCGTTCTTAGCTTCAGAAAATCATTATGTTCTGGGTTCTCCACCTCCACAACACCCCATGGATAGAGGCGACCTCTGACCTTCTTGCCTTTGGCTTCAATCAACTGGTTGGATCCAACCACAGAGAATGGGATACTGGCCTAGAAAGAGACACAAGGGCAGATGTACTCCATGCATGGAATTCCAATGTTCATGACAAATACAAGGACTAGCACAGTTTTGGGCCACTGCTATCAATTATAAATTTTAGCTGACAGCTAAGGGCACACATCCTTTACATTCAAGTATCAGATACTTTCCACATGGAAACATGAAACAAATTACACCTGGGCTAACTTTTCCAGGCCTTCAGTGAAAGCTGTCTAAATATATTTGAAGTAAAGTTACTATGGGCTGACCCTACCGAGACAATCTCTCATAGGTTAAGCCTCTAGAAGCTGGCTCTTTCCCAAATCTTTTCTCCACAGTGCATGCACAGTCAACAGTGAAAAGGAGGTATTCATATCACCATAGCCAGTTATCACCTTGAGAAGCCTAGTCTGCTCTTTAAAGTCTTCATCTTCATCTGATTCTGCATCAGGTAAGTGATAGATTTTGATGTTATGTTCTTCAATTTCATCCAGAATCTAAAAGAAATGACAAAACCAAGATCAAATTTTAGTAAACTGAATATTATTTTAGGCAAGTCCAACTCATTAGAAATACCAAAATTGTACAATTGGTAGTACAGAATCAAATTGATTCAAGTTACTTTCAAATGACTTTATAACTGCTACAAAGGTATTTATTCTTGAATTTTGAGTTTTTCTGTCCATAATATTAGCAGTAACACATCACCACCTTCAACATGCAAAGCAGTAAGCAACTATGGCTCATGGTCTCAGCACAACAGCCTCACTAAAAAGCATCCCACAATCAGCCTCAAGATGAAGCAGGACCAGAAAAGACACAGGAGAAATCCCTAGGGAACTGACGGAAAGAGAAAAAACCCAAACAGCAGAATCCACTACAAAGAACACCTTGGAGGGAAGAGACGCATTTTGGGAACAAGAAATCCAGAAGGTGGACTCTCAGACATCTAGCTGAATATGAGAACAAGTGGAGTTCTGGATCACCAAGTGAGGGACCTACGGCTCCTAACTTACAGGCAGCAAGCAACCAGCAATGAAGTGAGTCAATCAAATCCATCAACCAGGCCTAGAGAGGAGGAAAAACTGGGCTGGAGCATCACTAAGCAGTTATTTATTAGCTAATGATTTAACTCAGCTTCAGCAGCCACTGAAGCCTGTAGGTCTGCCTGCTCTCTCTAGGACCTGTGCCATGCCAGGAAGGGCTGAGGCAAAGAATGAGGGATCACCCTGGCCTCTACTCTGCACTGTACTGGCTCTTTGATCACAAAGATAAAAGTCCTGCTGGGTCTTGCATGACCAAACAGCTGTCTTTCCTAACTCAGGATTCCAAAAACTCTATAAATCCTTCCTGAATAGGTGGAAATATTTTATCTTTGGGAGATATGAGCAATAAGCATAATCTCATTCTGTCCTTATCTCACGGTGTTCTTGGTCTACTATTTATCCCCACTGATCCCACATCTACGCTGGTCTCATAGAGACAAGGCTCAGTGAGGTAGAGGTGAGACACAAGAAATACCTATGAATGTCCCCACAAGGCTCCTGGTGTTGAGGGGTTTGGTGCTAACGGGCTTTGGGGAAGGGATACATCATGACAGCTCCTGAATTCATCAATGATCAATCCATTGATGTTATCATAATTTGATACCATTACAGGGATGTGATGGCAACAGGAATGTAATGGTTCATGTTCAGATGGCCCCCCTCCCAAGCCTCACGCAATCATAGACACAATTAAAAATCTAAAATCATAGACACAATTAAAAATCTAATGTTTGTGACTGGTTTGTTGTCTAGTGCTCCGATTGGTGATATAAGTGTTACAATTGCCCAGGGGTGAAGCATACAATGTAACAGCAGAAAGAAGGTGTGTCTTTCTTTTGCTCAGTTTGTGCTTTGCTGCAGGGGTAGCCATGAACCACTGCCACTCAGCCATGTCATTTTGCCCTGGAGCCCAAGTGAGTGTGAACTAAAACCTCCAACCTGTAAGAAATAAATCTTCCCTTCCCTAACTTTGGGTGTCAGGTATTTTGTCTCAGCAACAAGAGAGAAAAGTAACTAAGACAAAGAGGTACAGCATACTTGAAGGAAGTGGACACTGGGGACTAGATCTGGTCCCTGGCTCCTTCCATGGCTCTGATTCTTCTTTCTCTCTCCCATCCCCTTCCCATTCTCCTTGTCTCTTGCACATGCACATGGGTGCGCTCACACGCAAGCACACATGTGCTCTCTGTCTCCATCTCCTGGCTGCCATAAGTTGAGCAGCTTCTCTGCGACATGCTTCATGTTTCAGCAAATACATAAAAAATGTTCAACATCACTGGTCATTTGAGAGATGCAAATTACAACAACACCGAGATTCCACCTCACCCTAGAAAAAACAGCTATCAAGAAATCAATCAGTAACAAATGCTGGAGGGGCTTTGGGGGAAAAGGAATCCTTTTCCACGATTGGTGGGAATGCAGACCGGTGCAACAATTGTGGAAATCAGTAGAGATTCCTCAAAAAACTAGGACTAGAGGTCCCATTCGACCCAGCTATTCCCCTTCTGGGTATCTTCCCAAAATATTTAAAAACATCATACCACAGTGATATATGAGCACCCATGTTTTATAGCAGCACAATTTATAATATGTATTATCTTGGAAACAACCTAAATACCTGTCAACTGAGGAACAGATAAAAAGATGTGGTATTTTTAAACAATGGAGTACTCTTCATCATAAAGAAAAACTGGAGACTTTTATAGGTAAATGGACACAACTTGAGGCCATACTCATAAGTGAAATAAGACACACGTGTAAACATTGTACTATCTCACTAGTGTGAGAAGCTGAATAAAACAACATGTATATGTATGTATATTAAAAACTAGTTAAGATAGTTATACTACTGATTTCTCTGAGTTCAATGAAGAGAAAGATTTGTGCTGGTATTGTTTGGACAACTGAACACAAATGTCTTGTGCTCTAGGTGAATGATTTGGGGACGAAAATGCACACAATGTATGTACAATTGTTGCCTCTAATTGACGTGTTTTGAAATCTTGTTTTTTTTTAAATTTTTTTTTCTTGAAATAAAATGGATTAAAAAAAATTACTGAGTTCTTGCTCTGTGCCTGCAGTATTCTCAATTTTTAGAGAACAAGAAAATAAAGCAAAGATCCCTGCTATCAGGAACCTAGAGGTGAGCAGTGAGAAGCCATGAACACACTGTGAAGAAGTACTTCATGTTGTAGGCTGAAATTCTGCAGGGGGTGTATGCAAGAGGTAAAATCACAGTCAGGTTAGGTATCTGGGGGGAAAATTTTCTAGACAAAAACTATCACTAACAAAAACTGCCCAAATGTAGAAACATATTGTATCCGGAACAGCAAAGGGCAAAGATCAGAAATTTGGTCAGGGGCCAAAGCAAAACAAAAAAGTATCTGTCAACAATGAATAAATAAAAAATCAAATTATAGTATATTATACTGTGGAAATGGGGCTTAATGCTATCTTAAACTGAAAAACTGAAAGGAGTTTAAAGAAGGAAGAATGTTATATTCATTTTTTGGAATACCAGCATGTGGGAGGCTGTGGCAGAAAGATAGTCATGAGTTCAAGGGCAGAATGGGCTACATAAGCAAGATCCAGATCAGCCTGAGCTACACAGCAAGACCCTGACTCAAAAAAAAAAAAAAAAAAAAGAAAAGAAAAGAAAAAAAGTGTATATATATAGGCTATGTTCTAGAAGGATAGATAATTAACTGTTAACAATAACAGTTGTTTCTGTGGATAACTCTTATTTTAGAAGTAAGCATGTGTAGACTCCTTAGACTTTCTTAAGGAGCATAAATTTAAAATATAAATAACTCTTAAAAAAAAACTATTTAGCAGTGTCAATGAGAGGCTTTACATAGTAACACTGGAGAGGGCACTAACTCGGGGCACCAGAGACAAGCAGCCTGAGAGCAGCCAAGAGGTAAGACACATCAACTGGCATATAGCTGGGGGTATGTATTTACAACCCAAATGCAAGGAACTGATCTGCACAGGTACACCAATGTTTCTGTGTTACTGTTGTTTTGTAGTACTGGGGATTGAATCCAGGTCCTTCATACTGAGCTACCAGTATATCCAAACTGTTTTCATTTTTTTTTTCACTTTGAGCCTGAGTCTCACTGAGTCATTGAGTTGTGCAGGTAAGGCCCTTCCTGTCTCAGCCTCTCCACATGCTAGGATTATAAACATGTGCCACCATGGCTGGCTTAAAACATCTTTTAACAGACACTTTGCCATTAGGTATTTGGGTAAAACATTAGATCTTCATGAAGGGAAAGTATTTCCACACTCAGTTCATTTACCCAACACTTGGGGGCCCTCCTTGCACTTAGCCACCTTCTAGTAATAGAGCATACTTTTTCTTTTTTAATCTATGGGGAATTTATAGAATAGATTTGTTACTTTCATGAAAGCAAACTGTTAAAAGAAAACTAGCAAAAGCTACAAAATTTAGGGTTTTTTCAATTTCACAACAAAATGTAAAAATCAACAACAATAACAAAAACACCAGGGCAGCGCACCATCTGCAGATCAATGCCCTTCTCCCACTGCCCACAGGCAGCTTGCCTGCGGCACCTGGTAGAGGACCCAGCAACTGCTCGTACTCACTCTTTTCTTCAGTCGCTCGCGCTCCTTCAGAGTGAGAGTGTCAGCTTTCGCAATGACTGGCACAATATTTACCTTGTTGTGTATTGCTTTCATAAATGCAACATCTAAAGGCTTCAGCCTAAAATTAATTGCAGAACATACAGGTATTTAGGGAAAGAATGGGGAGATCACACAAAATTTTTTTTCTCTCAAAAGTCTTCTCAATTCATGTATTACAATATGCAGTTTAGGGGGAAACTTGCAAACTCATGCAGGAAATCAGGTCTCAGGGGTAAACAACTGCTTACCCATGTCCAAAAGGTGAAATGAAGTAGAAGCAGCAATGTACCCTGTTGTCAATGATGTGGCGCCTGTTTAAGCCACTCTCATCATGCAGGTAGCGTTCAAACTGCTCATCAATGTAGGAGATGATGGTCTTAAAACTAAAACACAAACCTCAATAGTCATTCCGGATACAAAGACAGGCAGTCCTCAAGCTTGAGAAAACAATCTTTCTTGCCCCTTTTCACCCAATACATATACTCAAAATGGAGGTTTCTGGAAAGTATGCCAAGTGTATCTTTCTTTAAGTGCTGGGAGTCAGCAATATGAGTGGAACAGGTTATGAAATGTCAAAAAAACAAGAGGTACAGGAGACTATTGGTCCGTGGCAGGATTACGTGACATGCAAAAAAGGACAAACAGTACAGCTCAGGGGACAGTGAAAAAGGAAAGGAGATTACGCTATATGGGAAAGGCAAAAGCAGCACCTTCCTTTTTGTGCCTAGTGCTATTAAATAGATCCTTTATGCTGATGGGCTCAGAATGAGGAACAGAAGTGGGACACTTGATGTGACACAGGAAATAGGTTGCTCTACCTTCTTTTATTTCTTCATTCCCTTATATTCAAAAATAAGTACAATGCACAGTCATAATAAGCACCCTGACTCAAGTAATTTTCAACCTCCCACAGGAAAGGATACTAATCTGCTAGCCACAGTTGAAATCAAGGTGTTTCCTTTATACTGGCAGATTACAGACATTTGACTTTTGTGTGTGTGTGTGGGGGGGTATATGTGTGTGTTTTATGTGTGTGTATCTTGGGGATTGAGCACAGGGCCTTCACAGGGAGCTACAGTCCCACCCCTTTTTAAGTTTTTCTTTGGAGACCAGGTCTTACTAAGTTGTTCAGGCAGGGTTCAAACTTGTGATTGTTCTGCTATAGCCTCCCAAGTGCTAGGATTACAGGTGTGCATAAGGAGGCATGGTGAAAGTTGCTTTTTCATCTTAGATCTCACTATAGTGTTCTCAGGAAAAAACTCATTGTCTGTAGTATTTCTCATTAAAAATGTAGTTAATGTTTTAATTTTCATACTGTTTTATAAGATACAGATACCCCCTGTCTAATGACTACTCATCAACATTATAAACTTTTTTGGTGGGGGAGGTACTGGGAATCAAACTCAGGACTCTGCACTGGCCAAGCAGGTACTGTGCCACTGAGCTATATATCCCTGGCTCCCTAATTAACATTATAAACTTAAATAGATTAGAATAAATCCAAGTAAACACATGCACAGTCCTTGGTACTCTGGGGCTCTGCGCCCTCTTGGGGTGCTTACCAATCCCTGCAATTGATAGCATCCCCATAGCCAGGTGTATCCACTACTGTAAGGCGCAGTTTAACTCCACGCTCTTCAATCTCCACAGTTGAAGCTTCAATTTGGACAGTTCTTTCAATTTTCTCTGGAAAAGAAAGAAATTTAATAAGAGACTATTCCTTAAAATTAAGTCACTGTAAGAGCACCCAAGCCCTTTCGAGCTCACATCTTGCCAAAGGTTGTCTTGGATTCTGTACATACAACCACAGAACTTACATTTGCCCTGGTGGATTTTGGATTTGCTTTATTCCCACTCTTTATGGAATCCTCTTTGTACTTTTTGGAATGGAAATGTCTTTCCATGTGCCATTGTATTTTGAAAGTGTTTAATTTTCTTTTTGTTTGTACAAATGTTTGCAGTTAAGAATTTGCCTTAAATCTCACAGATTTCAGAATTTTCAGTCAAGCTTTCAAACTTTGAAAATTCCTATAGATGGACTAAATGGCTTTTGCATAAAGCCCATGGGTCTTTATGAGGCTGTGTGAGAAATGTTATGGCTTGTATACAGATATCCCCACAAAGACTAATGCATTCATAGGTAGGGATTTCAGATGTGATTGCATCTAGAGTGTGTGATGATGAGATCAAGGGTGCAATGCTAGTATTAAGGGTGAGTGCTACCCACTGTAACAGTGACTAGCCTGGATAAGATACAAGGTATAACAAGAAGCTCATTGCTTATTTTGCTGCCTTCTGACCACCATGAACTGTTTCTTCTCTAAGATACCTTTAGGCCATGTCACCCTGACTTCAAGCCAGCTGAACTGAAACCTCTACCAAGTATGAGTTAAAAAAATCTGTCTTTTTAGTGTGGGGTATTTTGTCTCAGCAATGAGAAAAGTAACTAATATACAACAAACAATTTAGAAGAACACTACCTCACTTTGTAGGAAGGGTGTCAGAAGAACACAAGGATTGTGTAAAAAGGTTCCAGAGCCATCAAGGGAAATTTCAATGCTAAGATTAACATACTGTTGGGGAAGGTTAAATATGTCAATAAAAATTACAATATTTCAGGAATAAAGAGAACAGTTTAAAAGTCTAGCCTTATTGTGGCAGCCCAAGACTCAGACTCCAACTCTGTTTAATCCACTCAATTATCAAATATTCATGGTGTGTCCTTTACCAGAACCCTCAGACAACATCAATCTTCATAGTAATTTTCTTTTCTTCCTTAAATTTTATTTTAAAGAGAATAAAACCAAAAGAAACAGAATAAAGCCAATCAAAACAACACAATGAAAGTAATACAGGACTTCAAAACAAGGTAACAGAAAATCAACAATGGCTACCATAATATATCTTGTTATCTTCAAAACAGCTACCCATATCATCAAACATAAATTCAAAACAGAATAAAACCAAACACAATGAAACAATGAAAACAATATAGGACTTCAAAACAAGATAATAAGAAATTAACAATGGTTACCATAATGTCTGTTATCTTCAAAATACTTGTCCAGATCATCAGTCATAGGTATGTAAAATTAACCAAGCAATACAAGAACTAAGTTGATTCTTTACTTCAGCTGTTATCTTTTCAGACACTTCAAGTGTGTGGCTTTTAATTTCTACTATGTCTGTGTCTACTGAACTTGTTCTGTGTGGGCTGGAGGTCTGAGATTATGTATTGCTTCTTCATCTTGACATTTTCCTGTGTTCCTCCAAATCAGCCCACTGCTGCATCCCAGGTGCTTCCTGCATTGCCTGTCAGTCCTTCGGTGCAGTGGACTGGACTAAGCACCTGGTTCCTCCCATCCAGCGTTCCTGCACTGGTGGAGAGGCATGCAGCGGTGGTTCACTGATGCTCCCCTGACGGCAGTGGGGCCTTAGGGCATGGCTTCTCCAGGTTGGTGCTAGGCTCACTGGTTTCTCTGGGCCACTGGCATATAGCCTTAGGGTATGGCTTCTATTTATTAAGTCCCTTTGTTTACAGATTTGGTTTAGCTCTGTATTTCTTTACTGATTTTTTGTCTAGTTGATCTGTCTCCCTGTGACAACTGTATTATTGCTTATTTGGTTTTCCATGTCTACCAATAACTGTCTTAAATAGCTGGGTGCTCTCGTAATAGGAGTATTATTTATTTATGATTGTTATGGCGTTTGTGCATCTTGTTTTCTCAGTGACTCCAATCAATCTTGTGTTATTTTTGTTTTGTCTTGTAGTTGATGTAATCTTCTCATGATCTCTTGCTATTTTTAAGATATCTTTCTTTTTATGATCACTAGCTGCAATTTTGTCTTGAAGATCTGAAATTTCTATCTTTTTCTTCATTCAATCTATGCATACTTTCAATGAAGGTTTTCATCTCCTGGATCTCTGTTTGGACCTGTTTTATGAATTCCATTTCTCTTATGTTGGGTAATTTTTTCCAAGCTTTCTAAGCTCATGTATTCTTTTTGTGAGTGTATGTGTCTTCTCTAATCATTCATTTTAAGCATAATTTTGTTTTGTTCCAGAGAGATCATTTTCAATATGGCCTTTTCCACTTGTTTTTTTAACTTCTGTTGTTATCATTTCAGAAAGTTCCAGTGTTTGACTTCCAGCATCACCTATCTCATTGAGTTTAAGGTCTGTCATGGGTGGCCTAGGGGTATGAAGCCGCATCTAGCCTCTGTGTCTTGCCATTCTCCACTTTCTCTTTTTTCTTTTGTCTTCTATGTTGATGCCTACCAACCTCTTATGATATATAGCTGTACCACCAGCATTGAGGCCTCTCTCAAGGAAGAAAGGAAATGTCCGTTCAGGGATGCCTTACAGAAGTAGTTAGTTCTTTATAGCTATCCTAAAAATAAGCTGCTTCTGGTGTTTACAGTTCCGTGATAATGTCCATGTTACATCCCAGAGATATGCTGGGTATAGAGCCCATCTTGGCCTCTGGATGTAAATGCTGGGACTCGTCTTCTGTCAGTCAAGTTCTTCAAAGTCTAACTGCTGTCTCCTTGTTGCTACTTCAGATGTTTCCACATTACTGATTACTTCACCCTCCAAAGGAGTGTGTGCATCTGTGTGCTGGGCTGTTGTCCTGGATTTTGTTGGTCTTCCAGCCATCCTTTCTGTCCCAGGGGAGTGGGGAATGGAGGAGGCTGGGACTGTGAACTCAGTGTCTTCCATCTGGCCCTGACCTCTAGGATGTAGGGAGGGGCACAGAGCACAAACTCACAATCTTCCAGTCGGCCCCACCATGAGGGATATAATGGAGGAGTACAGAGCATGAACTCACTTTTTTCCAGCCAGCCCCACAGTTCAGGATGTAATGGAGGAGGCATAGAGCTCTAACGATCTGGCCTCGCCTTCATAGATGCACTGGAGGAGGCTTGGAGCACATACTGTCCTCCTGCTGACCCACCCTCCGAGATGTGAGTAATTTTCTATGTATGCAGCTGTTTTATGAAGACAGGGTCTCATTATGTACCCAGGCAGGTCATAAACTCTCAACATTCCTGCTTTGGCTTCCCAGCAATAAACATCATTTTTAATAACATAAATCTCTCACTAGACCCTCCTATCTACTGTAAACTACAGGTAGAAACTACCCATAAATGCATAGAAAAGAGGGATACATGCAAATATATGAAATTCTACAACCAGGACCCCAGGGCCTCAGGAGTAACACACTTCCCCTGGTGAAATTTTCCTGTGTTCAAGGAAAATCCAGAAGAGACTAACTAGTTAAGACAAAAAATATTATTTATGCACTGTTTAGCAACTTATACATGCACAATAGTTACCTGCAGCTCCAGGTATGATTCTTTCTGGATAGAGATCAGTCAGGAACAGGCTGTTTATCAGAGTTGATTTTCCCAGGCCTGACTCACCTTGAAATGAAAATGAAAAATCTTGTTATGACCTTTCAAACAACTATTAAGTCTGCTATGTTTATTCTAGTCCATGGGTTTAAACATCTCATGAACATCATTTGGTGTGCCTGACGTAGTCACTGTAGCTTATATAGATGCCACTATTCCCGTTTCACATAGATTCAAAGAAAGACAGTAACTTACTGAGGTCAGAGGTATGCAGAGCAGGGCCCTGATTTCAATCCAGGTAGATGTGATTTCAGAACTTGTACATTGTACAGAAACACAATTTCACTTCTATTTTCCCTTTTCCACAACACAATGGATTGAAACCAAGGCCTCTGTATTGAACTACATTCCCAGTCCTTATGTTTTCTTTTGAGACAGGAATTTGGTTCAGGTTCTCAGCTATCCAGGCTGTGCTCACACTCGTAATCCTCATGCCTCAGCTTCTAAGAGTGCTGGGATATAGGCCAAGTACCACCATGCCCAGCTTATTCTGTTATTTTTAATGTTTGATATTTACCTTTAAGAAGATGAAAAAGTCAACAATTAAATTTTATATTAGGAGACATGAACAAACTCCACTCCTCCTTGTAGATTATCATCTATGGCTTCAGAGATGCTCCTCCACTTCAATACTATATTGTACTTGATGCTAGACCTTCCCCAGGCACTTCAGTTTGAACCACTTTCAGCTAAGACCTGTATAGCATGAGAAAGGAGGCCACCACATCTATTTTAAAAATTATTATTTCTAGGCAAATCAAGGAAATAAGTGAATCTGAAATGTGTATATACATACAAAATTAGTACTGCAATTTTTGTGGATGAAAAAGACGAAGAAAAGTAGAATTGTATGTTGAATGTGGTCAAAGTCGAATGTAAAAGCATCAATTAAATGTTATTCCACTAAGCTTTCCTTTGATAAAGCTGTTTGACAGCATCCTTTATATCTTTCTGAGATGTGAAAGATCTTTCACCAGTATATGCTAGTTCTTTTTTTTTTTTTTTGGAGACAGGGTCTCTCTGTGCAGTTCAGACTGGTCTTGAGCTCACTCTCGAGCCCAGGCTGGTCTCGATCTTGCAATGATCCTCCTGCTTCAGCCTCCCAAGCACTGGGATTATAGGTGTGAGCCACCATGCTGGTTTGCTAGTTCTTTTCTGTGTTTGGCACATGTCCAGCACAGGAACATGACAAAAGATCAGGATGAGCAGGGGAAGAACACTAAATAATATCACCACTGATTACAGAGCAATGAAGCTGTGGGCAACTCACCTGGAAAGCAACCAGGCCCAGGAAATGCCTGAGCACAAGAGTTTGCAATGCATCTTTAAACACTAATTGTAACATCCCAGGACTACTTCTAGGCTATTAACCTTGATTTTAAGGGTATATACGCTGTTTAATGTGGAAGAGTTTTCAGGTAACATCAATAAGTGATCTGCTTACAAACTCAGAACATGACACTGTCACAGAACTGATTTTGGAAGTTACATGTCTTTCTCTCTCATCAGCATCTCTGTCCTGAATGGAAGCTTCTCAGGTGCCATCAAACAGAGGAAATCAGAGTCACAAGGGACTTGAGCTAGTGTCGATCATCACCATCCAACACAATGAGGTCAATTGTCTCATTTTTCTCTAAAAGTAACACATTAAAAAAAAAAAGTACTAGAATTAATTTCCTGTGAAAGTGATGGGAGGGGGCAAGTGATTTAGCTCAGCAGCATAAGTACTTCCTTACAAGCATGCTGTCATGAGTTTAATCCCTAGTACAAAAAAAAAAAAAGCGATGGGAGGCTGATTGGGATGGAAGGGATCCAGAATTCACAAAACAGTTCTTGTCTTCTGGAATTAGAAGTACAGGCAAAGTTCAGCTTTGTATTACGATACAATACTGTTCTGAAGTCCCACCTTCTCTAAGGTTTAAAGTTTCAAAAATCTACGCTTTTACATCTGAGTGACCTCTCTTTGCATTAATTTTTAAATTTTTCACCAACACAACAATGAAGTAGAGTTTGTTCATGGCTTTTTCTAATGTAAAATTTAACTGTTGTTTTAAAACAACATGCAACAAGGCCCTTTTTAACTGCTCACTTTTCCTGCCCATGCACACCCTCCTGTCTGCAAGCTCAGTGCAAATGGAAGAGGGAGCCAAGGGGAGCCACCCAGGCCAGCAGCTCCTGCACTGGCTTCCGGCACCATGAAGGTTGCACCAAACATTCGCATCCTCACAACAGGGAACCTGCAACTCAAAGCCCATTTTTATTCTCTCCACTTAGTTCTCAAGGGCTCCCCCTGAAAGCCTCTTAAGAAACAGACCACAGGGGCTGAGGATTTAGCTCAGTGGCATAAGCGCCTGCCACAATTGCAAGCAGGCAGTTGTGAGTTTGATCCCTGGTACTGATAAAAATGAGAAAGAAAGAAAAAAAACAGACCACATTAAAAAGCCAGCTATCAGGTAATGTTTGGCAGTAACTTTTTTCTTGTTCTTTTCTTGGTACCTGGAATCGAACTCAAGACTTTGCTTATCAGGCAGGCACTTCTGCTGCTGTTATATCCCTGGTCCAGTAAGTTTCTCTTAAATTCTCAATTTGAGGGGGTGGGGCAATGCTGGAAATTGAACTCATAATCTCACATTTACCAAGCAAGCGTTTGAACCACTGAGCTAAATCCCTGGCCCAAATTCTCAATTTTTAATCTTACTTTTCTTAAAAATTAAGTGACCATCCCATATAAATGTGGGCAGGATAACTTTATAATCAATTTTCACAATGTGACTCAAGTCTTTAGCCACATAATCGTGAGGTTCTCTTGTGACATTCTGCCCACATAGCTTGCTTCCTTGAAGTTTTTATACTGGCTACTCACGAGTTTAGAACCTCTTGCAAACTGCTGTCTACCATAACTTAAAAAACAAAAAATTCCTTTTCACAGGCTCTTGTTTTCAGTAGGGTATGTCAGGGCCTTTTGCTGTAATGTTTTTCTTGTTCTAACATGATGATTTAAAAGTTTATTGTACTTGTGATTAGCTTTCCACTTCTCTATTACCCACTTCTTCCTTAATCCCTAGCTATCTGTATTCTTTTAAGCAAACTTTATTGAGGTATGATTTACATGTGTGTGGTACTGAGAACTGGTAAACCCAAGACTTTTATAATGAACTATATCTCGGCCCTTTAATTTTAAGATAAGGTTTTGCTAAATTGCCTAAGTTAGGCTCAAACTTGTGATCTACCTACCTCAATTTAGCAGACTGCAGGGATTACAGGATATCCCACCAAAACCTACCAAAATATACCCATTTTAAAAACTGTATAGTTGGATTATTTTTGACAAAGTACCCACTAGGGTCACCAAACTCCACTCAGCACAGGAATATTTCTGTAATGCTCAAGAGTTCTTTGGTATGACTTTATCATCTCTATCATCTATAGCCCCCACTGCAGGAAAACATCAAGTCAATTACATGTTGGCTTTGATTATTCTGGAACTTCACATATAGAGAATCATACAGCATTGCCTTTTTGTGTCTAGCTGCTTTTGCTCAGCATGGCTGGGATTAATCCATGTGCTTACATCTATCAGTAGCCTGTTACTTGGCACTCCTGAGCAACAGTCCAATGTATGAACATACAGTAATGTGTTAATCCATTCTTTCTATGTCTTTTCTGAGATATCTGTTCCACTTCCAGTTTGGGCCTATTTTGAGAAAAGTTGTGAATGTTCATATACAAGTCTTTGTGAGCACAATAGGACTGCTACGACACCACAGTTAATAAAGTTCTGCACAGGAATGGTGGCACAGGTCTGTAATCCTAACACTTGGGGAGGCTGAGACAGGAGAACTACAAGTTTAAGGCCAGTTTAGGCTACACAGTGAACATGAGGCCAATCTGGGCTACACAGCAACACTAACACCCTCTTCCCACTTCCAAAGTACCAAACTAGTTTCAAAGTGGAGGCTGGGCAAGGTGGGGCATTCCTGCAATCTGTGCACTTGGGAGGCCAAAGTAGGAGGACTGCCATGAGTTCATGGCCACCCTGGGCCACAGAAGTGAGTTCAAGTGCAGTCTATACCACATAGCAAGACCTTGTCTCAATAAAATAAAATAAAAACCCACAAAACAAAACAAAGTGATTAGAGCACTTTAGTTTCTCACTGGCAATCAAGAGAGCTCCAGTTGTTCCATATCCTTGCCAACAGCTGGACTGCTGGCCTTTAAAAACTACAGCCCATCAGTGGATAAGTCATGCTGTCTCACTCTGATTTACATATGTATTTCCCAGATGTGAACCTTTTTACTTGGATTTCTTGACCATTTGTGTATTTTCCTTAATGAAAAATAGAAACTAACATGCTGAATCTAAATTGACAAAATAGTTAAATAAGAAAATTGCCAGGCATGGTAGTACACACCTGTTCCCAGCACTAGGAAGGCTGAGATCAGAGGATTGGTGTCTGTTTGAGGCCTGGTTGGGCTACATAATTCAAGACCAGCCTGAACTACACAGTAAAACTCTGTCTCCAAAAACAGAAAAAAGAGACACACAGAGGGAAAAAAGTTAGCAGACTTACATTGCCAGATATCAAGACTGAGCACAGTAATTAAAGCAATATGTTAAGGGTACACACAAAGATCAGCTGAATAGAACAGCCACCCAAAGGGAGACCTACATATACATGGTCAGTTGGTTTTTTGGTAAAGATGATAAGGTAATTTAGTGATAGAAAGGTTAAGTCTTTCTACAAATATTAGCTGGATGAACATATAGGGTATATTACCTTCTACATATCATATCTGAAAATTTACTTGAATTGGATCATAAGCCTAAATATAAATCTTTAATTTCTAGAACAGACAAACAAGATTTCATGGGACAAGAATATCAGTAATTGTAAAAGAAAAAAATAAATTGTGCTTTATTAAAAATTTTCTTAATTGAAGTTGCACTTATAATTTAGAGCAAAAATGTCCTCTACACTGGGTGTAGTGGTCTACTCCTGTAATTCCAG